GGGGAAGATCTCATTCATAAAAGAAACAAAACTAATAAGACACCTCGAAATAAGCCTAACCAAAAATGTGCATAATCTTTACTGAGAAAATAAAAGCTTATTTTGAAGGACATTAAAATAAATGTAGGGAGGTTTCATGTTCGTGGATGAACAAAAGGTATGAACAGGCCATTCACAGAAGAGCAGAGTACAGTTGCTGATAAACTTATGGCAAGATGCTCAACCTCAGTGATAATCAGGGACATACAAATTAAAATGAGGTACCATTTCGCACCCGTCAAATTGGGAAAAAGTAAAATGCCAGAAAGCACGAAGTGTTGGCGAGGCTCTAAAGCGGTGAAAACCATCATTGTTACTGAGATGAAACTGGTATTACTCTTGGGAAAGCGATCCGACAACATCTAAGCAAGCTGGAGACTGCCTTCCCTGCAACCAGCCTCTCTGTTCTAGGTGTGTGTCCTGGAGAAACTCCAGTCCACGAGCGCAGCAGCAGTGGCTGCATTGTCTGTCACTGTGTGTGAAAAGCTGTCCATTTAGCGTATTTATTTTCAAGCCACCCATCTTGCCGAACTGTCAGATGTAATGGTACATGTATATCAAAACATCAAGTTGCATACCTTAATTATATACAGTGTTTATTTGTCACGTCAAGAGAGCTGAAAAATAAAAACATCTGATGGGAGGGGAAAGAAGAAGGTGAGATGTAGCGGGTGTGCATAGATTCTTCTGGATTTCTCAAGGGGACGCTCCCATCACCTGTATGTAATAATGAACCAGACCATCGAAGCAATCTTCTTATACACAAGCAATATTCTGTTAGGATATAAATGTATACAGACACCCAGTTCCCAATAGCAATCAAAAATATAAAAATATCCAGGAATAAGTAGAGAATTTTACAGAGAGATATAAAAGAAAACTTGATTAAATGGAGCCAGATACTGTGTACATGGCTAGGGAAATTTAATACTGTATAAATGCTTTTTTTTTTTTTCTTCATTCATACATTTATTGTTAGTCAGAATTACACAAGTTGTTGTTGTTTTCTCTTGTGGGGAGGGCTTTGTTGTTTTTAATTTGAGAAAATTCTTTTTGAGTGTATCTAGAAGAATAAATATGGGAGAATATTTTTTTAAGGTAAAAGAAGAGCAAATGAGGGAGCACTTGGTGCCCTACTGAATGTTTATACTATAAAGCCACAGTAATTAAAACAGTATGGGTCATGCACAGGAATAAACAAGTAGATGAATGCAGTAGACTAGAAAGTTGACAGACAAAACCAAGTTCATATAACTATGCATGTGATAATGGTAGGTTTAGAATGCGTGGTGGGTGAATTTTACAAGCAGGGTTTGGTTAAATGGCTAATCAAACAGGGGGAAAAAGGTGGACTCCTATATCATATGCCAAAATAAATCCAGGTGGATTTAAGGACAAAAGTACTAGAAGAAAACATTGGTTTATTTATTTATCATACATTTCTTGAATTCCTCTTATGTGCCAGGGCACACATTCTGCACAGTGGTGTGTGAATAATTATATTGGGGCTTGGGAAATATCTGCAACTATTTAAATACCATTAAAAAATATTTAATGATTTGAAAGATATGTACATTATATTAAGTGAAAGAGCAGCTACCATATAGCATCTATAGTTTGATCTTGTATTTATTTAAAAAATAAATAAGCATAAGGAAAGATAAAGCATAGAACAAAGCCTAGAAAGACAGTCACCAAAATGTTATGAGCGCTGAAAGCTGCTTTTTTTTCCTTGGGGCTTTTCTGTTTTATAAGTTTTCTGCAATGAGTATTTATCATAATGACACTTAGTAAGAACATTTTTGTTCTTAATGAATTGGAATGAATTATGCTTTGAAAATCAGGAAAAAGTCCTGTTCCCATTATAGTTTTATTAATTAAAAACAATTTCTTACTACCACCATATATCTGGTAAGTGTTCAAGTTTCTAAGGATCTCATAAATGTCATCATATTTTTTAAATGTAGTGTTTTTGAATCAGGATCCAGATAAAGTGCACACATTGGATTAGTTACCTCGTGTGTTTTTTTAATCTATAGGTTTCTGTATCTCTTTTTACCCCCTCACTTGTAATTCACTTGTCAAGGAAGTCAGATCATTTGTCCAGTGGAATTTCTCATGTTCTGGATCTGCTGACCCCATTCCCAGAGTATCATTTCATGTGTTCCTGTGTCTTCCATATTTCCTGCAAGTTAGAAATTGAACCCAGTGGCTTGATCTGATTCAAAAAAAATTTTTTCCAGCAAAATGACTCCATAGGTCGTGGTGCATCTTCCATCAAGTGCATAATACCTGGTTGCCTCTCTTCTTGTGATGTTAGCAAATACTGACGATGAATGCCTGATCAGTTCATTCCAATATAAGTTTTAATGGGTAAAAACACTTGTATAACAATTGGGCTACAGCAGTGGGCTAAGCCCTTTGCACGGGGGCCATCTGTGTGAATGTTGGAACCCGGAATTCTCTCCATCTATCAGTGATATGAAGCCATTGCACATAGGATGTGGAAGCAGACGTGAGGCTCCCGGGGGCCTAAACAAATCTCTAACATACAGCACTGTTAGCTTGAAGGATGGCTTCCTTTAGAAAGCTTTGCCTCATAAATAGTAGAATGGAAATATTGTTCCAATTTGCTGGCAGCTGGCACCACATCCTGTGCCATGCACAAATATTCATCGCCCACCCATAGATCCCATCTTTGATATTTACCAAGGCACCAGGGGGTCCCTCACTCAATCACAACTTCTGTTGTTATTTGTACAATTATCTGGAAAGGAGCAGCAACCTTACAACCTGGGAAGCCAGTTCATTATTCTGATGATTGTTGACTTTGCTGGTGCTCAGAAGTTCAGGGGACAGATGGGAGTCAGGGAAGCCAGCTGCCTGCGCAATTCCACCCCTGGCAAGCCCAGCAGGCCCTCGCCGGAGCCCTTATTTTAGGAGAGAAGGAGCAGAGGCTGAGCTTGGGAACGGGAAAGGCACCACGACACACTGGTCATCTCATCTCCATCCTGCCTGGATCCCAGGGCCATGTCCAGTGAAGTGGTCAAGACTGAGGCCACTGCCACAGCGGGGTGGGGCCCGGCAGGAGGACAGGTGTCTCATCTCCTGAAAGGACAGGATCGGCGTCTAGCGATGCAGAGATGCCACATGCTTTCGGCGTGCCTGTCTGCAGAAACAGATGGCTTAGGCAGTCAGCCAGCCCCAGCCTGGCCTCCCCAGGCTGCTGAAGATTAAGCTGGTTCCATGTGGGGGTTGAGGGGACAAGAGCAGATCTTACTGGAAAGGTTAGAACAGTAGTCAATTCCTAGGGACGGGATCCACACTGAGATGGGCTGGGCTCAGAACTGACACCAAGCAGAGTCGAGAGGGGCCCGTAACTCGCTCAGTTGCTGGCTCCGCTCTGCCATCTCCCTTGCACCTCGTGACTCACTGCCCCTAACAGTTGTTATCGCTGCTGAACTCTGGGGATGTGGGCTGTGGGGCGAGAGGCTGTTGTTCAAAATAAGGTCATGCTGATGATGCTGGGTTGGGGTCTCCCCTGTGTCCAGGTCTATGATGGCAACAACAACTCGGCCCGTTTGCTGGGGATGTTCAGCCGCTCAGAGATGATGGGGGTGACTTTGAACAGCACATCCAGCAGCCTGTGGCTTGATTTCATCACCGACGCCGAGAACACCAGCAAGGGCTTTGAGCTGCAGTTTTCCAGTAAGTCTTTCCTGCATCTGAGTGGACAATAAGTCGGGCTTCCCTTGGTGGGGAGGTGGGACTCTGGGTCCTCATTTATGACGAGGTTTGGTTTGCTCTAACTGGCTACCTGCTTAGTTGCTTGTTTCCTCTTAAGACATTGGGCCTGGGATTTGGAAGAGCTGCCACTTTTTAAACCACAGCTCTGTGCTTTAAACTGGTGGTCAACTGAGTTGAGAGCATACCTTTTAGTCACTAATACTTTAAAAATAATAAACACCGAGCCTTTTAATTAAAGCTGCCAGAGATAGCCTTTGCTACTCACGACATTTATAAAATAATATTCACAACAGCCCAGTGTAAAAAGGTGCCAACACTAATGTATAATTGCATTTGTTTTTACCACTCCCTAAAGAGCTGAGTCTTGATTCTTTCCCTCTTTTTTCATGATTTTAACTTTCTTCTCCTGGGATTTTGAAAATGGAAAGCACCCAGGTTTGTAGGCATACCTGGAGTCCTTGGGGGTCGCATCCCTGTGCTTTGGTTTTCCTGCCATTTTATTCATTTATTTGAGCTTCTACTTGCCCAGTAGATACAAAGAAATGCGCTTTTAGAGACTATTTTAAATCCCGTGAGTACCCATCCACCTGTGAGTGAATAAATAGCATGTGTTGGGGCCTGTGTGGCTGCTACAGAGGCTGAAGTGCGGGTTCATGCTTCAACACGGTGGACCACAAGAGCACAATGCTCGGTAAAGGTCACCAAAGGCCACACGTTACACGATCCATTTACAGGAACTGTCCAGAGCGGGCGAAGCCACCAAGACAAAAAGAAAAACAGGGCTGCCCGGGGCTGAGGGTTGAGGGGAGTGTGGATGGCGTGTGGATGGGCTTCTCTTTGAGGTGATGGGAATGCCCTGCTGTCGATTGTCTCGACCGGCGCACAGCTCTCTAAAGTGCTGAAGATACTCGATTGTACACTTTAGAGGGTGGATGTTTAGCGTGTGAATTATTTCTCAATAAGTCTGTTAGAGAAAACACATCCAGTGACTCCACTCAAGCTCCGTCTCCCTGGGCTCTTGGCCGGCTGGCGGAGGGGTCAGGCCTGTCACAGCGGGTGGATCAGTGGGAGAGGGTTAAGTAGAGTCATCTTCGAGTTCCACTTCTGTCATCCGAGATTGCATGACTTTGGAACAATGTATTTAACCTTCCTAAGTCGATGTTCTCAGTTGTAAAATGCACATAATTATACCTTCCTGTAAGACTCCTGTTAATAACAAATGAGAGACAGCGCGGGAGGCACCGCATCATAGGAGCTCTGCGAAGGTCTCCTTCGCCGGCCTTTTCTGTAGAGCGCATGTAAGCAGGACATAATTGAGGTTTGAAACGTACAGTTAAAGTGACTTTTCCACATTACACTATCCCATCAGAAGGTCTCCGTGAACACAGTTGAAAGAACAGCTCCCACTAGCAGCATGCTATGGGGGCAAACAAAAGAAATGGGAAGTTCAAACCCTGTGCCTGAAAACAATGCAGAGCTATCCTGGGAGAAATAACGAAGACCATTTCCATATAGCATCGGGGGAACGAGTACCCCGTAATACACCCTCACCTGAGCACAGCAACACGACGGCCCTGAGCAGAGTCCATCAGAGCCTGGACGCGTGCCCGTGGCTCCCTCAAGGAAACGGGCCCTGAAGGCGTGTGGATTCTGCCCGACGGGTCTTGCTCACCCTGTCTTTTCTTGCCTCACCAGGTTTTGAACTCATCAAATGTGAGGACCCAGGAACCCCCCAGTTCGGCTACAAGGTTCATGACGGAGGCCATTTCGCAGGGAGTTCTGTGTCCTTCGGCTGTGACCCTGGGTATAGCCTTCGGGGCAGCGAGGAGCTGCTGTGCCTGAGCGGAGAGCGCAGGACCTGGGACCGGCCTCTCCCCACCTGTGTCGGTAAGAGGCCTCTTGCTTGCCAGTGTCGCACATTTAGCAAGTCACACCGTCAGAATCGTAATGCTGGGGTCAGAGAAGAGGGAGGAGAGTGGATTAGAAAAGAGGAGGTGGAGCCTTTGCCCAGGTCCCAGGGGTTCCTGCAACACCAAGACTCAAATGAGTCTCTGGGCCACGCTGGGCCTCTGTTTCTCTACTGGCAAAAAAGGGCTCGAGCTTCCTTTTCTAGGGGATGTTGAAAGAAAGGGTAAGGTCATGAACCATCTTCTACCTCACTCTTAGGAAAGACTAGAACAGTGAACTAGCATCTCCTGAAGCCCATAGTGCAGCAGTAGGGAACCTTTTTTCTGCCAAGGGCCATTTGGATATTTATAACATCATTCTCAAGCCATACAAAATTATCAACTTAAAAATTAACTATAAAACTCCTAGATTTATTGAATTTCAAGTCCCACTAGCAGTTGCCTTGGCAGGGCCAGACCAGACGGCCCGCCAGCCTGACGTTCCCCACCCCTGCTGTAGTGCTCCCAGAGTGTCAGCAGAGGCTCTCGGGAAGCTTTATCTGTGTGCCACAGGACAAGGGAAGTCTGATCCAGGTAGAAGTGTGAAGCTGACAAAATGCATCATTCTGTCTGTCTGGCCTTTCCGCTTTCACCACCCAGCTCCCTGCACACTACCCTCCCTGCTGACCAGGATTCCCACACACTGCTATGTCCTGCTCCCCACCCCCAAACACCAGGCCTGCCCCCCTCTCCATCCCTGTCCCCGTGTCCCACAACCTCAGTGTGTCTGCGGCACTGGCTAATCTCATAAGAACAAAACTCCCACTGGGAAAGCATTTAAGTGCCTACCAAGAGCTGTGTGACAGAATTGGTGCCACCGTACCTTTGAGTGTGTGTGGAGGCAGAGAAAAACAAAAATAAAGAAAAAAGCACCTCCCTGCCCTGGGGGAGCCCATACTCTAGCAAGAACAGACACATAAACAGATCGTTAATAATACAGGATAAGCTCTGTAAAAAGAGCGATGTGCAGAGTGTTGGAGGGCGTGAGAAAGGTTTGCATAGGAGATGATGTCTCTGTTGAGACTTTGAAAGATGGGTGAGAATTCACCAGCAGGCATAGTGGGGTGGGGAGGGGGCCCTTCCCCCTGGGCACATGTGAGGGCTGGCAGGCAGTGCAGACCAGCATGGCAGGAAGTGTTAACGGCCAATATTCTGTTCCCCTAGACCAGTACATTTTAACAGGAGCTTCAACACTGTTAGACAGCAGTGTCCAAAGGCAAGGCGAGGACTTTACATCCGCCAGGCCAGGGTAGTGGCTTCTCCGTGGCCTCTAGAGTCTTCCTCTGTGTTTCAGGCTGAATCAGTCTGCAGTCATGCCCATCTCTGTCTTTATTCCCTCCTTTCACTCATGTGCCAGGCTCTGCACTAGGCCCTAGGAAGAGAGGAGGGCAGGTCCCAGGCCAGCGAGGGAGACACATGCACACACAGACACTGGTGGGATGCCATGGGCAAGCCAGAGCGAGCGAGATGTGAAGGAGAGGCTATGAATCTCCCTGAAAGACAGTCATTTGCTCTGCAGAAAGGATGCACTGTAGGTTCTTTTGAATTATCAGAGTTGCCAGTCGGACTGAACTTCAAGGACGCACTCAGGCAGTGCTGGTGAGAGTATTTATACTTTGAATCTCAGAGGCCTTCCCCGCTGAGACTCCCTAGGGCCCACTCTGGGGAGTGAGGCTGTGTATTTGGGATTGTGGGTGTGTATTTTTACACACATCACGTTGTTTAGTCTTTATCGCAGGCTGCCAGCAATGACTGCTATAACTTAAACATCCAGATGTTTGCTTCAATGATGGGAGCAGCCAGGGCTCTAGGAGGGGAAGAAGGGGAACTGGGAAGAGTAGAATCCAGTGGTCTTGGTGGTGAATCTGCTGCAGGCCGGCCACTGGGCCTCTGCTGCCCACCTGCCAGTCCTCGGAGAAGGTGACCCGTGAGAAAGGCAGCAGCGTGTCCTTAGGAATTGCTGCCCCTCCAGACACTTTCTCCAAGGCCCAGGGGCTTCTCCATCTGGAATATCATGGAAAGAGGCTTTAGCCAAGGACATGGGTCATTTCCTGCCACCGTTTTAGCTACCTCCTCTGTATGTGGGGCCAGACAGGCTTCCTGTCCACAACTTAGGGTCCATCTCTCTCTCCCCACCCTGCTTCCTGCTATGGGCCCATCCAGCCCTGCGTCTTTTAGCCGCGTTAGCGCCTCCCGTCCCAATAGCGCCACAGAGGGAGGACTCCAGCTGAGGCTTGAGCAGAGAATCTGGTCTCCTGAGCAGGCTCACTGACAGAGGGCCCCCTCCCCAGCCCTGGCTCACTGGTCCCATGTCCCGCCATGGCGCTTAATGGGTCCTTTGTAGCAACAGGTGAAGATCGGTCCTCCCTTTGTGACTTTCACCCCATCTTCTGTTCCTTCCAGGATCTTCTGCATCAGTCATTCCCTTTCCTGAAAAGCTTTGCAATAAGTCTCCTCCCCTTAACTTCCATTCTGCCTCGATTCAGACCTTTATAGTAATTTGCCTGGGAAGCAATAAGCTTTTTTCATTCATTTCATCGTCCACCTGTCTATTCATTCAATAAACATTTATGAAAACATCTTTTATGTGCCAGACACCATACTAGGCACTTGGTGTGCAAACATGAGTAAGACGAGGTTTCTGCTGCCACGGAGCTTAGTCGTGTGAAGGAGATGGACATGATAATAGCACGCTGCACGTGCTGTGATAAAATCTGTTCGTGCACCATATGCATGCACCACATTTGTTTTCCATTGATCAGTTGATGGACATGTGGGTTGTTTCCAGTTTGGGGTTATTATGACTGGTGCTGCTGTGATCATTTGGGAACAAGTTTTTGTGTGAACATATGTTTTCATTTGTGTATATATCTAAGAGCGGAATGGCTGGAGTCATATGGAAACTACATGGAGCATTTTAAGGAACTATGAAACTGTTTTCCAAAGTGGCTGCACCATTTTCCATTCTCGCCAGCTATGGATGAGGGTTCCAGTTTCCCCTCATCCTCACCTACACTTGTTAGTGTCTGTCTCTTTCACTTTAGCCATCCTTGTAGGTATGGAGTGGTATCTGATTGTGATTTTAATTCGCATTTCCCTAATGACTGCTGATGATAAATACCTCTTCAGGTGCTTCTTTGCAGAAATGTCTGTTATTCAAATCCTTTGCGCATTTTTGAATTGGATTGTTTGTCCTTTCATTGTTGAGTTGTAGGAGTTCTTTGTAGATTCTGAATACAAGTCCCATCCAGGGATAGTCTCTGTGCAGAGCTCAGCCACCTGGAATGAATGGGAGGGACTCGGGGACATAGACAAGAGGAAGCACCAAGTCATCGCTGGCAGCACAGGCCACCCCATGAAGCTCACTCTCACTCTTTTGGGATTTCTTTCAGCTGAGTGTGGAGGGACAGTGAAAGGAGAGGTGTCGGGGCAGGTGCTGTCACCTGGCTATCCAGCTCCATACGATCACAATCTCAACTGCATCTGGACCATCGAGGCCGATGCCGGCTGCACCATTGGGTAAGTGTCCAGGCTGGCAAAGTGACCGTTGCCAGTTGTCCAGGGGAGCCATCCCCAGGCCACTCAGCTAGTAGCTGGTCCTGCCCCCATCACCTGGAAGCCCTTGTGATCGACAGTGGTCATTGTGATCCCAGGCTTGGGCTTGGCCCATGAAGAACCTAGAAAGGCCAGGCTCAGCCTCACACAGCTGCCATCCAAGTTCGCCCAACTCTGGTCTAGATGGCACAGTTAGGGCAGAGCAACTGAGGGCACAGGCTTGGCGTAATGCAAAGCCCAGTTTGAATCCCAGCCCCGCCGCTTCCTGTTTGCATGACCTTGGCTAAGTCCTTTACCCTCTGAGCCTTACTGTCTCCTTCTGTACTGTGGTTATATTGCCGGCTTCTCAGGATAAAGCACTTAGAAGTTATGTGCCTTGTGCTCAGCACAGTACTTGGGACATAGTCAGTATTTAACGGTGGTTCTGTGGTTATTACTCTGACAGCAGTAAGTCAGCTTGTAGCTCTATGAGCCCAGATCGCTTCCCTTCCTTGGTCTGAGTTTCTTCATCCATAGATTGAGGACAAAAATTCTTATGGTTTAGGGTTGTAGAGGGGAATTGCAAAGGCCAGTGGGGGAAGGAGGGAGAGAGGGAGGAGGGGGAGGGGGGAAGGAAGGTTGGCTCAGGTGTAAGGATAATTGCGTGACTAGTAGATCCATGGTAGTCTCTCAGTAAATATTATAAATGAACAGTGAGTGAATCGAGAACATGACGACTCTTTTACTTTAGTGTTCAGGTATGCAAATCAGGAGGAGGTCTTCCTCCTTTTCTACCTGGGAGCATTGCTCATTCATTCACTTCATTCATTCAGGTAACAGCTGTCTGTCTGTCTGTCTGAACATCTGGCAGTGCCTGTGGGAGGTGCTGGCATTGTATAAGTGAGTGAGACCCTGTCACTGTTCAGTATGTACAGAGCAAGGAGGTGACATAAGGAGGAGGGGGGATGAAAGGCAGGACAGGAGGGGACCGGGGAAGCTGTCCTGGAAAAGGTGACGCAAGTGCTCTCCTGATGGATGAAGGGGGGCTTGTCGGGTGGCCGAGGAAGAAGGTTGGGAGGAGGACAAGAGCCTTCTGGGCCAAGGAATTGACCCGGGTGGTCAGGCTCGAGCTGGAAATGGGTCCACGTGGCGGGATTGTCGCCTGCACTGTGGTGGGGGGTGGGCAGCAGTGGGAGATAAAGCTGGGGGAGCCTGCCGCGGCCAGAGCATGGGGCCCCGGGGCTGTGCCGCTGGGTTTGCACCTGTCCTGGCAGCCTTGTGGAGAAGGGGCTCGACTGGGTCCGGGAGCCCCGTGAGGAAACTGCCTCCAGACTGTGGTTGGGGTGAGGAGGCCTGAACCTCGGCAGTGGCAGTGGGGATGGAGGGGAAGGGACAAACTCGGGAGACGTGTCAACGGTCCCACCGGCTGGTCTCACTCTCCTCGTAAACATGGAAATTGAGGCTTCTTCTGTTTCCCATCCTTTGTTGTGTAGCACACGCTGTGTAGACGATCAGACACGTGAAAAGAACAGTACCCCAGACCCTGCAGACCTACCACCCAGATGCAGCTATTGCGAGTATTTTGCCATATTTGCTCCCTCTCTTTGTCCAGTTCTGTCCATCCGTTTTCTTTATTCTGAATCACTCGAAAGTACATTGTGGACATCATGACACTTCATTCCTAAGTACTTGGCAGCATCTTGCAAAGAGAGGGATG